GGGGTGGGGGGGAGGGGGGAGGAGGCTTTGGCTGGGAGAAAACCCCAGCTGAAGGAGAGACATAATGCTGGCACTTTGGAGCCTCCTCCTCCTCCTCCTCCCTCACTGCAGAAACAAACAACCCAGGGTCAGGCGGTGCATCAGGACCGCAGCAGAGCCCAATAACAACTGAATGAGTTGTGAGTGAGGATCCGGGACAGTGTAGGGAAAGTGAGCGGAGATGTGAGAATCAAACGACAATAAACACCGAAGTGTAACTGTAAACAGTGAGGTTGTAAATGAGACAAAAGTGAGATCATTCAAACCACTGTAGTTGGACATGAAACAGAAATGAAAACACCTGTAATGTTGGTCATACTTCTGCTTTGCACAGTAGACGCTGTGAGTACACGAAACTACAACAAGTATGGTAGATGGGCGAGGAAGTCGAACCATAAAGAGAGACAGATCTTTAGAACGTTTTAAGGTATAGAGGTATTAAGGTAATAAAACAAAGTGTTGTAGCGTGTCCTCCACGTCTAAAGGCAAAAAGGATGCCACATGTGGAAGGTGAGTCAGAAAGCCTGCCGTCTTAACGATCTGAAGTCAGTTGTTAGTCCGTCTTACTGAAAGACTTTGCCCAAATATACATTAGCTCTGCTAGTTCCTTCCTTAAGTGTGCCAGTGCATCTCAAACATACTCTCTGAGGAGAGCGCTCCACTGCCTGAGATAAGTAGGAGATCATGGGGGTGAAATTGAATGCATATGAATGGTGGTAAATAGTCTGACATGAAGTTATTTTGGAGGACGGATGATAAACAAAACGATTGTGTTTCAGCTGGACTTTGTAGAGGACTTGAAGTGTGAAATCGAGTTAAGTGCTCAGGAGGTAGGGGTTCCAGTCTGAAATAAAAAGATATACCCATGTGTCCCTCTGACATGAGGACGGATGTTTGGTGGGCTGGAAGAAAGAAGGAGGCTGGAAGGGGGTGTGTGCCTGGGGGGCTTGAGTGAAAGGAGTTGGTGAACAAGTAAGAGGAGAACCAAGGAGAAACGCTTTCACAACATCTGCAACATCTGCTGCACACAGACACATGATGATACAGACCGTACAAAAAAGGGGAAGTGTGTTTCTACATGGTTTGCCTCTAAAGAGAAAATGTTTTGTGGCTCTGCTCCATTCTCTCCCTCTCTATCTCCCTCTCTGGGTATGTAAGCTGATACCCATTTCAAGTGGGTTACTCATGTCCAGCACATCCACACAAAGAGCCCGGATAAAATAAACACGCCGCGTCGGATATCTTGGAAAGAATCTGTCATGGGTTTGGGGCTAATCACCTCCAGAAGGGGCTTGACTCAAAGCCTGAAACGTTAGCCCCTGTCGGGGAGCGAGGCTGGGCCGGGCCGGGCTGAGAGTCCCCGGGCGCTGGGGACGGATCCGGAGGAGGGGGTGCTCCCACAGGTCAGGACCAGGAGGGGCAGGAGGGGAGGAGGGCCCGTTTACAGACCTGAGCACCAGCTACACCGCCACCGGTGCTGCTACCTCACAATCACCTTGGAAGAAGGAAGCTGAATAGAATATAATACTTTATTCTCATTATAGAGGTACAATGAGAGGAGTAGAGCGAAATATGCAGATAAAGTGAAAGTGCAGGGATATATTGTCGAGTCCATCATACAGAATCTGTTGAATTAGAAAACCCCTAAAACCGAGCAGGTTAGAGGAACGGATCTTGTTGGAGTCGACTCCTTAACCCATTTTACAGATTCAAGATTCAAAGGTTTTATTGTCATATGCAAATCTGACCATTACAGCTACAGTGTAGAAATGGCAATTAAATTATTCTGACCTGAGCTCCTCCAACAATGCAACGTATATAATAAAATACAAAAGTCTGTTGAACTAAGAAAACCTCTAACACCAAGCAGGTTAGAGGAACGGATTGTTGCTCGAGTCGACTCCTTAACACATTTTAGAGAATCTGTTGATTTAGAAAACCTCTAAAACGGGGCTAGTTACGGCGCTTTTCCACTGCAGGGCCTCGCACGGCTTACGGTATGGCTAGGCCTCGTTAGGCCTGGCTCACTTTATGCTGCGTTTCCATTACAGTTTAGAAACTGTGGCAGTAACCATAGTAACGCAGTGTAGGCGGAGCCGTGACGTCAACTTCAATGCGAAACACAAAACCAACATCAGCCGTTAGCTAGCTGTTAGCCCTCAGAGCTCACAGCTCCTCATATCTGTTCAGAAACTTGACAAAAGTTAAACAAGTACAAACCACAGACTGTCTGTGTCATGGAGAACCCAGTCGCTGGTTTATTTATGTCTGTAGGCCGTTGTTGAGAGTGTGGACGATCGGAGCATATACTGCGTTAGCTTAGCCGATCTCCATTCAGAAAACACGCATTTTAAAAGGCTTTTCGCCTGCCGTCTGTCTGCAGACTAGTCAAAGCATTAATTCATGGTTTTTACTAACTGGTATCAGTATGTTGTTACTTCGGCATCATTTTGAAACGTGTATTACAATTAAATCACGGTCAAATATGTTCATTTTGTTGTAGTTGCCAGCGATTCTCTCTCTAGTTTAGCATACTCAGCCTGGTTGTTGGCCCGGAAAGAACCTCGATTTAGGAGAGCCAGAAAAACTGTGAGAAAGTACCGGCTAGCCGGAACTACGCCTGGTGGCAACGTAACCAAAAACGGGCATGCTTAAACCGCGCTGTAGTGGAAATGCGCCATTAGAGTAACAGATTTTGCAGGATCTGAGTGATGTTTTAACCAAAGACACTCTTCCTTTATCAGCTGATGTAGCTGCTTCTCAAAAACACCAGTCCTGTTTGATGAATTATCAAGACAAGGGCGGAGAGGAACGATAAGGACATTGGAAAGAAACTGGAAATATTGTTGTAACGTAATATGTCATTTGGATGGAGCCGGGCCTCGACTTGGCTGAAAGTCTATCCAAAGCACAAACACGTTTTTAGTGTCAGTGGTCACAGTGACATATCACACCTGCATAAGTGTCTGATGAAAGTGCCTTGTAAATTTGGCAAAAATAATTAAAGATTCTTACATTTTTTTGAGTAAGTTGTTGCTTGATCTTTTCCTGGATAACAATAAATCAGTTTTTGCAGAATGAGGCGACTCCTTCACAACTAGTCTACAAACAAATGACCAAAAGCGAACCACCCAAAAACAGTGATGCAAACACATGTATGGTGAAAAAAGAGAACTATTCGAAGCAGAAAAAAAACAGCGTAATATACCATTTGATATAATATTAATAATGCCTCCATTAGCAACCTCTTAATCCAGAGATCTCACCATGACTCACGTTTGCATGCACGAGCACGGTTGTGGCAGAAATATATGGACACAAGATGTGTGCAAATGTATTTAATATCCTATCCATGTGAACATGATTTAAGTGGGGGGGGGACCTAACCTCCT